CTGAACTCCTTAAGTTAGCCATTGAGATGATAAGTGAAAATTAGGAAAGTGTAAAATGGTTTTCTTGTCAGTACAGTGTAATACCATATTGTATTATAAGATCTTTTGAGACACCAAAGGGCTAATCAAAAGTAAAACTCAAATTTATAAAGAATCTAGTTACTTCTCTTTAATTCAGAACCCAATAAAAAAAAATCTGTAGAGCCCACTCTCCTGAATATTTATTCTCTATACCAAAGGTTACAACAAACTGGCAGCCCTTTGAGATGTTTGCGCTGGTAGCTGCATTTTTTTCTCCTGTCCTGCACAGTGTAAAAGCATTTAGTGGTTTTTTTTTTTAAGCCAATTACCAGGTTTTCTATTAAAAATCCAGATCACCAGTTTCTCCTAACTCCCATCTGGCACACATGATCAGTTAGCATTCCTCTAGCAAGAAGGTGTCTGTATGTCTTCTCCAGGTTTTCCTCACACTGGGTCACTCTTTTATGTTATAGGCTAAGCCCCTCTGTAACAGTCAAGGTCAAGATCCCTGATCAGATCATTTATTAGGCAATTCAGTAAGTGTAGAATTTTTTGATAGTCTGTGTGTGGGTTGAACTATTATTAACGAAGCTTAGAGATGTAAATAGCTTAGCCAAGGTCACAAAGCTAGTAATATGGAGAAATGAAACAACTTAAAGATCCTTCCAATCAAATTTTCCAAGACTCTAAATTGAGCTCGAATGGGAATTGGTGACTAACCTAACTGGGGCATGGATGAGATGGCTGCAAAACACTACTGTGTTCCCAAGAATGACTACAGGAGACACTTCCTGAAACACTAGTCTTCACATTTTTTGTTCACATGACCCCCTAAAAAAAATCTTCAACTTTTAAAGTTGATACATAAAATTCATCATAATTTTCAATAAACTTTTTGGTTTATTGTAAAAATTGACTTTTTAAAATAAAACCACTGTATCATTATTTTAAGTGTATCAAGTGATAAATACCTAACAACTTGATAACTCTACCATCTATCTTGTTAATAACATAAATAATAAAATTATTTAACATTTGTAAATTTTACATTTTTCCCTCTTATTCCTTGAATTTCCAATCCACTTAATGTATGTTTTAAATTTTTTTATTGGTCATCCTACCATACATCGCAGGAAAAAAATGTTAATTAAAATATAATAAACTTCTCTTCTGACTAAAGTTCTGAGTGTATAAAAATTTTTTTCTTCTATAATGAATTACCATTAAAATTATTAGTAATGCTAAGTTGATTAAAGGGATATAAATATGATTTTCTAAGTAACTATACATAAATTTTTCTTGGAATTACTTCTCTTAATGAACTGAATGGTGTTGTTGGTTTTTTTTATTTAAAAAATGCAGATGAATATACATGATTTACTGAAGTAAATGTGATGGAACTCTCAGCATCAATTTTATTCCCATTTTATTCCCATTTTTTTTATAGATGTGATTCTTGAGAACTCTGACTCATATAAATAAAAAACAGAACTGGACAGGTTGGTTTGTTTTCCCCCCATTGGTAAATTCTACCAAACTTTAAAAAAAAAATTTAAGTACAGTTGATTTACAATGTTGTGTTAATTTCTCCTGTACAATAAAGTAACTCGGATATAAAATGGATAGCTTTGTTATAGTAATGTTATTCAGGTCTTGGAACTCCTAAGTTATATGCCACAAATCGCATTGATCTAGAAACATTTTATCAAACAATTTTTTGTTCAGATTTTCATTTTGTTCAAATGAAAATCACCTTTCTTGCAAACATGAAAGATATTTCTCTTTCTGGGAAGTTCTCCAAAAAAGGCTTTACCAAGACCTATCAAATGATAATTATGCCTTATAATTCTTTCACTTTGTTTAACCTAACTCAAAATGGTTGGAGACATCTAAACATTGCTTATTTAATTACATCTTGCCAATACATTATGTTTGGACAAAAAGAGTTTAGGAAATTCCCTGGTGGTCCAGTAGTTCAGACTGAGCACTTCCACCACAGGGGACATGGGTTTGATCCCTGAACAGGCAACTAGGGTGTCACATGCCAAGATGTGGCCAGAATTAATAAAAAAGAGTTAGTGTACATGTTCTTCAAGGGCTGCAGTTTGGCTCATTTGATTTATAGAACATGTCCATCAAGTTAATGGCACATCCAAGGAATAAGTATTGAGACCAACCGAAAACAGTTACATATATTTTTACTTGTAGATAAAATTTTTTTAAAACTTTGTAAATTCAGGATACCCAACAGACGGGTAGAAACCACTCCTCTCCCCCAAGATCAAGTTTCTTTAACTAAGTTCAGCAAATGAGAGACTGGAATCTCTTCATGTTTTTGGTGATTTGATTAATCATCAAAGGAAGCTTCACCCCTATCTGGTATGTGGTACTGTCTGTACCTCAGGTCAGTGCCTCAGGAGGAAGATATGGGACAAGGAGTGAACTGTGATTCTTCTGTAGAGTGGGAAAAGAAAGAGTGCCTGTGAAACTTGAGGATCTAAAAATCCATCTCCTCAAAATATCTGGACCTGCCTAGCCCTCTGCAGGACTTCTTGCATATTTATTCCCATTCGAAGACCACTAGACTTCATTTATAGCCAGGGATTGGTATCTTCTTTAAGGATCAGTTCAGTTCAGACGCTCAGTCAAGTCTGACTCTGCAACACCATGGAAAGCAGCATGCCAGGCTTCCCTGTCCATCACCAACTCCCGGAGCTTGCTCAAACTCATGTCCATTGAGTCGGTGATGCCATCCAACCATCTCATCCTATGTTGTCCCCTTCTCCTCCTGCCTTCAATCTTTCCCAGCATCAG